TGTCAGGCAGTACTGTGTGTGTCAGGCAGTACTGTGTGTGTGTGTCAGGCAGTACTGTGTGTGTGTGCGTCAGGCAGTACTGTGTGTGTGCGTCAGGCAGTACTGTGTGTGTCAGGCAGTACTGTGTGTGTCAGGCAGTACTGTGTGTGTGTGTGCGTGTCAGGCAGTACTGTGTGTGTGTGCGTCAGGCAGTACTGTGTGTGTGTGCGTCAGGCAGTACTGTGTGTGTCAGGCAGTACTGTGTGTGTGTCAGGCAGTACTGTGTGTGTGTGTGTCAGGCAGTACTGTGTGTGTGTGTGTCAGGCAGTACTGTGTGTGTGTGTCAGGCAGTACTGTGTGTTTCAGGCAGTACTGTGTGTGTGTGTGTCAGGCAGTACTGTGTGTGTGTGTCAGGCAGTACTGTGTGTGTGTGTGTCAGGCAGTACTGTGTGTGTGTGTGTGCGTGTCAGGCAGTATTGTGTGTGTTGTGCGTCAGGCAGTACTGTGTGTGTGTGTGCGTGTCAGGCAGTACTGTGTGTGTGCGTCAGGCAGTACTGTGTGTGTGTGCGTGTCAGGCAGTACTGTGTGTGTGTGCGTCAGGCAGTACTGTGTGTGTGCGTCAGGCAGTACTGTTGTGTCAGGCAGTACTGTGTGTTGTCAGGCAATACTGTGTGTGTGTGTGTCAGGCAGTACTGTGTGTGTGTCAGGCAGTACTGTGTGTGTGTGTGTGTGTCAGGCAGTACTGTGTGTGTCAGGCAGTACTGTGTGTGTGTCAGGCAGTACTGTGTGTGTGTGTGTCAGGCAGTACTGTGTGTGTGTGTGTCAGGCAGTACTGTGTGTGTGTGTCAGGCAGTACTGTGTGTGTGTGTGCGTGTCAGGCAGTACTGTGTGTGTGTGCGTCAGGCAGTACTGTGTGTGTGTGTGCGTGTCAGGCAGTACTGTGTGTGTGCGTCAGGCAGTACTGTGTGTGTGTGCGTCAGGCAGTACTGTGTGTGTCAGGCAGTACTGTGTGTGTGCGTCAGGCAGTACTGTGTGTGTGCGTCAGGCAGTACTGTGTGTGTGTGCGTCAGGCAGTACTGTGTGTGTCAGGCAGCACTGTGTGTGTGTCAGGCAGTACTGTGTGTGTGTGTGTGTCAGGCAGTACTGTGTGTGTGTGTGTCAGGCAGTACTGTGTGTGTCAGGCAGCACTGTGTGTGTGTTAGGCAGTACTGTGTGTCAGGCAGTACTGTGTGTGTGTGTCAGGCAGTACTGTGTGTGTGTCAGGCAGTACTGTGTGTGCGCGTGTCAGGCAGTACTGTGTGTGTGTGTCAGGCAGTACTGTGTGTGTGCGTCAGGCAGTACTGTGTGTGCGTGTCAGGCAGTACTGTGTGTGTGCGCGTCAGGCAGTACTGTGTGTGTGCGTCAGGCAGTACTGTGTGTGTCAGGCAGTACTGTGTGTGTGTGTGCGTGTCAGGCAGTACTGTGTGTGTGTGTGTCAGGCAGTACTGTGTGTGTGTGCGTCAGGCAGTACTGTGTGTGTCAGGCAGTACTGTGTGTGTGTCAGGCAGTACTGTGTGTGTGTGTCAGGTAGTACTGTGTGTGTGTCAGGCAGTACTGTGTGTGTGTGTGTCAGGCAGTACTGTGTGTGTTTCAGGCAGTACTGTGTGTGTGTGTGTCAGGCAGTACTGTGTGTGTGTGTGTCAGGCAGTACTGTGTGTGTGTGTGTGTCAGGCAGTACTGTGTGTGTGTGTGCGTGTCAGGCAGTACTGTGTGTGTGTGCGTCAGGCAGTACTGTGTGTGTGTGTGCGTGTCAGGCAGTACTGTGTGTGTGTGCGTCAGGCAGTACTGTGTGTGTGTGCGTCAGGCAGTACTGTGTGTGTCAGGCAGTACTGTGTGTGTGCGTCAGGCAGTACTGTGTGTGTCAGGCAGTACTGTGTGTGTCAGGCAGTACTGTGTGTGTGTGTGTCAGGCAGTACTGTGTGTGTGTGCGTCAGGCAGTACTGTGTGTGTGCGCGTCAGGCAGTACTGTGTGTGTCAGGCAGTACTGTGTGTGTCAGGCAGTACTGTGTGTGTGTGTGCGTGTCAGGCAGTACTGTGTGTGTGTGCGTCAGGCAGTACTGTGTGTGTGTGCGTCAGGCAGTACTGTGTGTGTCAGGCAGTACTGTGTGTGTGTCAGGCAGTACTGTGTGTGTGTGTCAGGCAGTACTGTGTGTGTGTGTGTCAGGCAGTACTGTGTGTGTTTCAGGCAGTACTGTGTGTGTGTGTGTCAGGCAGTACTGTGTGTGTGTGTGTCAGGCAGTACTGTGTGGTGTGTGTGTCAGGCAGTACTGTGTGTGTGTGTGTGCGTGTCAGGCAGTACTGTGTGTGTGTGCGTCAGGCAGTACTGTGTGTGTGTGTGCGTGTCAGGCAGTACTGTGTGTGTGCGTCAGGCAGTACTGTGTGTGTGTGCGTCAGGCAGTACTGTGTGTGTGCGTCAGGCAGTACTGTGTGTGTGTGTGCGTGTCAGGCAGTACTGTGTGTGTGTGCGTCAGGCAGTACTGTGTGTGTGCGTCAGGCAGTACTGTGTGTGTCAGGCAGTACTGTGTGTGTGTGTCAGGCAATACTGTGTGTGTGTGTGTGTCAGGCAGTACTGTGTGTGTGTCAGGCAGTACTGTGTGTGTGTGTGTGAGTCAGGCAGTACTGTGTGTGTGTGTGCGTGTCAGGCAGTACTGTGTGTGTGTGCGTCAGGCAGTACTGTGTGTGTGTGCGTCAGGCAGTACTGTGTGTGTCAGGCAGTACTGTGTGTGTGCGTCAGGCAGTACTGTGTGTGTCAGGCAGTACTGTGTGTGTCAGGCAGTACTGTGTGTGTGTGTCAGGCAGTACTGTGTGTGTGCGTCAGGCAGTACTGTGTGTGTGCGTCAGGCAGTACTGTGTGTGTCAGGCAGTACTGTGTGTGTCAGGCAGTACTGTGTGTGTGTGTGCGTGTCAGGCAGTACTGTGTGTGTGTGCGTCAGGCAGTACTGTGTGTGTGTGCGTCAGGCAGTACTGTGTGTGTCAGGCAGTACTGTGTGTGTGTCAGGCAGTACTGTGTGTGTGTGTGTCAGGCAGTACTGTGTGTGTGTGTGTCAGGCAGTACTGTGTGTGTGTGTGTCAGGCAGTACTGTGTGTTTCAGGCAGTACTGTGTGTGTGTGTGTCAGGCAGTACTTGTGTGTGTTGTGTCAGGCAGTACTGTGGTGTGTGTGTCAGGCAGTACTGGTGTGTGTGTGTGCGTGTCAGGCAGTATTGTGTGTCTGTGCGTCAGGCAGTACTGTGTGTGTGTGTGCGTGTCAGGCAGTACTGTGTGTGTGCGTCAGGCAGTACTGTGTGTGTGTGCGTCAGGCAGTACTGTGTGTGTCAGGCAGTACTGTGTGTGTGCGTCAGGCAGTACTGTGTGTGTGTGTCAGGCAGTACTGTGTGTGTGTGCGTCAGGCAGTACTGTGTGTGTGCGTCAGGCAGTACTGTGTGTGTCAGGCAGTACTGTGTGTGTGTGTCAGGCAATACTGTGTGTGTGTGTGTGTGTCAGGCAGTACTGTGTGTGTGTCAGGGCAGTACTGTGTGTGTGTGTGTACAGGCAGTACTGTGTGTGTCAGGCAGTACTGTGTGTGTGCGTCAGGCAGTACTGTGTGTGTCAGGCAGTACTGTGTGTGTGTGTCAGGCAGTACTGTGTGTGTGTCAGGCAGTACTGTGTGTGTGTGTCAGGCAGTACTGTGTGTGTGTGCGTCAGGCAGTACTGTGTGTGCGTGTCAGGCAGTACTGTGTGTGTGCGCGTCAGGCAGTACTGTGTGTGTGCGTCAGGCAGTACTGTGTATGTCAGGCAGTACTGTGTGTGTCAGGCAGTACTGTGTGTGTGTGTGCGTGTCAGGCAGTACTGTGTGTGTGTGCGTCAGGCAGTACTGTGTGTGTGTGCGTCAGGCAGTACTGTGTGTGTGTCAGCAGTACTGTGTGTGTGTGTCAGGCAGTACTGTGTGTGTGTCAGGCAGTACTGTGTGTGTGTGTGTCAGGCAGTACTGTGTGTGTTTCAGGCAGTACTGTGTGTGTGTGTGTCAGGCAGTACTGTGTGTGTGTGTGTCAGGCAGTACTGTGTGTGTGTGTGTGTGTCAGGCAGTACTGTGTGTGTGTGTGCGTGTCAGGCAGTACTGTGTGTGTGTGCGTCAGGCAGTACTGTGTGTGTGTGTGCGGTCAGGCAGTACTGTGTGTGTGTGCGTCAGGCAGTACTGTGTGTGTGTGCGTCAGGCAGTACTGTGTGTGTCAGGCAGTACTGTGTGTGTGCGTCAGGCAGTACTGTGTGTGTGTGCGTGTCAGGCAGTACTGTGTGTGTGTGCGTCAGGCAGTACTGTGTGTGTGCGTCAGGCAGTACTGTGTGTGTCAGGCAGTGCTGTGTGTGTGTGTCAGGCAATACTGTGTGTTTGTGTGTCAGGCAGTACTGTGTGTGTGTCAGGCAGTACTGTGTGTGTGTGTGTCAGGCAGTACTGTGTGTGTCAGGCAGTACTGTGTGTGTGCGTCAGGCAGTACTGTGTGTGTCAGGCAGTACTGTGTGTGTGTGTCAGGCAGTACTGTGTGTGTGTCAGGCAGTACCGTGTGTGTGTGTCAGGCAGTACTGTGTGTGTGTGTCAGGCAGTACTGTGTGTGTGTCAGGCAGTACCGTGTGTGTGTGTCAGGCAGTACCGTGTGTGTGTGTCAGGCAGTACCGTCTGTGTCGCAGTGTTTAAGGTCGACTCGGCCTCAAATGAGTACCTGGTGCGGTGTGCAAACATCACCACTGGGGAGGCATAGAAATCACAACTCAAATTGATCGTTAGCGTCGTGTGAGAGGATGTAAATAACAAACAGCTAAGCGTACAACAATACGAATACACACATCCACGTCTCCACAAGGCACCCACGGGCGCCACGGCCTTCGAGGAGCGCATGATGCGGGCAGCCCCGACTGCTGTGCCGCGTGTCGCCGTCCCGTGCCTCGTCGTCGTCACGCTTCAACCAGCGCTGGCGACGTGCCGGACACACACGACGCGCAGAGCCTCTCTCTCTCTCTCTCCACATCGTGGGACTTTTATTAATGTATCATGTATTTATTTTAATTCATACATTTTTGCGTCGATCATTTTCGTATCAAAAAAAGCTCCGCGTGATTATGCCGGCTCTGGTCAAGATGCAGAGCGAGCCGCAAGGCCGCACTCACAGTATTATACTGTAATATACAGCACGAACGCCATCGTAGCCGACGACGTTAATAGTCATCGCTGCCGCCGTCGCCACCGTCAACTCCGCGCCGCGTTCACGCCGCGAGCGCCGCGTTCTCCTCTCTCCCGCACACGTTTTGGTTTTCGTGTAAAAAAAAAAATCGGCTCCTGCTGTCACCCATCCACCTCCTGCTGCCCCCCCCACCCCACATCCTCCCCGACAACCGCCGTTCACCACGGCGTGGAGGCCACGTGAAGTGTCGAGGGCTCGCTGGTGTCAGGAGGTCACGGGACAGACCCGGGTGCCGTATGGGTTGACGGAGATGACAGACAGATGCACCCACCACCACCACCACCCATCGCCGTCATCGTTTGTAAATACTCCATGTTACCGGTGTCACCGAGCAGTCCTCTCCTCCTCCTCCGGTGTCCGAGAGGCTGCATCACCGTCGCTCCGCACACAATCGCAGACCCCGGGGATGAAGAACATCGCCGACCCCCCCCCCCCCCGCTATTGTACCCAGTCTTCCAAACAATGCCGGCTGCTACCTACTGGAACCACCCGGTCAAGATTCTGGAAAAAAGGATCGATGATTGTGCAGCTGATGCTGGTTCTGCGACTGCCAGTTCCACGTTCAGCATTAGTCGTGGAATCCGGGGGGGGGGGGGGCGGGGGGTTAGGGGAGCATAGCTTGAGGGCAGTCGCCCCCAAATTATTTTCATTCATGTGCTCCTCTCTCTCAAGTCCTTCCCGCCACCCCACCCCCTCCACCTTTATTAGGATGAACATATCAGTCTGTCCAGTGACACGCATCCACATCCAGCAGAAGCAGGTAAAGGGGTCGAGGTGGGATCTCTAACCGCCGGTCCTGGCTCCAGAGGGACCATTCAACGTCGTGGACAGAAGGAGGAACTACATTCGGGAAACGTCGGTCCAGGTCCAGGATATTTGGGTTGAGAGTTTTGGGAGCCAGCAGCTGATTCAACTGAACACGCAAGCCAGAGCAATCGACAGCTGCTCAAATGAGCAATCGGGCATCAAGCCCATCTCCCGTCTACAGCAGCCCTCAGCCAGCGGCGAATTGGGATAATTCCACGTTACTATGGCGGGGGTAAGTCTATCCATAGGACAAATGCTGTTAATCTCCCCTCAAAGTGGTGCAGTGTCAATTTCATTGACCCTGGAGGGATGATGGGGCAAGTCAACCCCCGATCACCGCGAAGCCGCGTGGCCAGTTGCGGGGACCGCTCCCGAGTTCCCGAGCCTCTGCCCCCGCGTCGTCCGCCAGCGCCAGCAAGCGGCATCTCCCCGGCCCAGGGGTGCGCCGGCCCGTGCCGCTCGCGCGACGCGCACCGGCGCTTCGTAGCGGCGCGCCGGGTCGCCGCGTTTCGCTCTCATTAGCCCGGGGACGCGCGGGTCACCACGTCACACCGCCTTCTCCCCCCCCCCCCACCACTCTCTGTCCCCACCTCGCTTTTAAACGACTAAACCATTTAAATTAAGAAACGTAAAGGCAGTGAAAACAACGATAACGAGACAGTCCGGTCGACCCGCCCTCGACTTTTTTCTGCCGCTCGGGAAAGCCACGCAAAGCGAAGCGCCGGTGGAGCGAGGCCGCAGCGCCCGTGGCGGCCGCCTCTCTGCACGGCCGACAGACGGCCTCGCCGGGACGCCTCTTGTTTCGCCCAAACGAGAAGCGTAACTTTTACTCTGCGGCGTCTGTGGGCGGTGGATTCGCCTGCCTACGAGATGGCGTGGAAATAATTCGGATTACGTAATTTTTTGTTTACAACATATAAATGGGGAAAAAAATCGAGAGCAAATCATCGGGGCAGCGGCGGTGATGGCCTCCGCGAAATGTGGACCAGAGCATTTTGTTTTATTCGAGTCGAGCTTCGTGCTCCGATGATGAGAAAGATCCTGTCCAGGTATTTTTTTGGGTGGGGGGGAATTGCAGTAACCCAGAGAAAAACCCGGAGTAAGATCGTTCATTCACCAACAACAACCACCGCCCTGCCCCCCCCCCCCACCTTTACACGACCATGGCTGCCCCCAACCCCTGCTCACACAGCAGGGGTGTGAATGGTGACCTCAAGCACTTGCAGAGAGACGCGAAATGGGAAACGAAAACTAAATAAAAAAAAGTTAAATTCGTTTAAAAAATAAAAGTGCATATCCCGTGCAACACACACGCACGCGCACAGTGCCCCATGTATCCGCATCGCACTGGATACCAATGGACCCCTCTCACCCGCCCCCCCACCACTCCCTCGCGTACCCAAGGACCCCGTACGTGCGTTCCCCCCCACCCCCCCCCCCCCGTCGATAAAAGGGGCCCTCCTGGTGATCGTCTCTGTGATAAAGGGGACCCCTCTAAACAAATGGAACCTCCTGGTGCGAGATGGGACCCTGGGTTGGTATCGAGGACTCCTCTATATAAAGGACCCTCTGGAGACTAAGGACCCCCCTTCGCGCAAAGGGGACTCCCCCCCCCCCCCGCCGCCCCCCCCCTCACATCTTGCTTTCCCTCAGCATCTCGAGCTCGATGGCGTTGCCGTTGGGGGCGCCCCCCTTGGCGTGGTGCCCCCCGATGAGGGTGTCGAGGGCCCCGTTGTCAGGGGGCCCCGCGGCCGCCAGCGCTGCGCGGCGGTGCCGCTCCACGTGGGGGCCCAGCACCGGCGTGGTGAGGTGGCGCCAGCGCTGGGGGGGGGGGGGGGGTGAGGGGGGGCACGGAGACGACACGGACCACACACAGGTGAGTGTACGTGCGTGTACCCAGGTGAGCGTGCGTGTACCCAGACGAGTGCTGTGTGCGTGTACCCAGACGAGTGGTGTGTGTGTGTACCCAGACGAGTGGTGTGTGTGTGTACCCAGGCGAGTGGTGTGTGTGTGTACCCAGACGAGTGGTGTGTGCGTGCACCCAGACGAGTGGTGTGTGTGCGTACCCAGGCGAGTGGTGTGTGCGTACCCAGGCGAGTGGTGTGTGCGTGTACCCAGACGAGTGGTGTGTGTGTGTACTCAGACGAGTGGTGTGTGCGTGCACCCAGGCGAGTGGTGTGTGCGTGTACCCAGACGAGTGGTGTGTGTGTGTACCCAGGCGAGTGGTGTGTGCGTGTACCCAGACGAGTGGTGTGTGCGTGCACCCAGACGAGTGGTGTGTGTGTGCACCCAGACGAGTGGTGTGTGCGTACCCAGGCGAGTGGTGTGTGCGTGTACCCAGACGAGTGGTGTGTGCGTGCACCCAGACGAGTGGTGTGTGCGTGCACCCAGACGAGTGGTGTGTGCGTGCACCCAGACGAGTGGTGTGTGCGTGTACCCAGACGAGTGGTGTGTGCGTACCCAGGCGAGTGGTGTGTGCGTGCACCCAGACGAGTGGTGTGTGTGTGCACCCAGACGAGTGGTGTGTGCGTACCCAGGCGAGTGGTGTGTGCGTGTACCCAGACGAGTGGTGTGTGCGTGCACCCAGACGAGTGGTGTGTGCGTGCACCCAGACGAGTGGTGTGTGCGTGTATTCGGCTGTACCTGCTTCAGCGTGCCCTTGCCACGCGCCACGAGCAGGTAGAGGAGGGTGAGGGGCAGGCACAGCATGGAGGAGAGGGAGAGCAGCCAGCCCAGTGCCTCGCCCCACCACGGGTACACGTACACCTTGTTGTACGTGGGGCCCTTGTACTGAATCAGCTGGAACAGCAGCATGCCCTGCGCGAGGGTCCCCGAGGAGGAAGCAGCGCAGGGGTTAGGAGGTCGGACGTCACCGGCAGGCAGGGCACCGTGGGGCGCGGTTGGGGGGGGGGTCGTGGATGCAGGGAGAGGTTCGTGGTGGGGGGGGGGGGGTCGTGGATGCAGGGAAAGGTTCGTGGTGGGGGGGGGGTCGTGGATGCAGGGAGAGGTTCGTGGTGGGGGGGGGGGGTCGTGGATGCAGGGAGAGGTTCGTGGTGGGGGGGGGTCGTGGATGCAGGGAGAGGTTCGTGGTTGGGGGGGGGTCGTGGATGCAGGGAGAGGTTCGTGGTGGGGGGGGGTCGTAGATGCAGGGAGAGGTTCGTGGCGAGCGGTCGATGGGCCTCGAGCGCGTGGCGTGGAGAGTGCGGCGTGGGCGGTGAACTACTCGCTCGCTCGTCACATCGCTCACCCACTCGACCGCCTACTCAACTGCAAACTCACCACATCTCTCACTCACTAAACCACCTTCTCGCCACATTATTCACTCACCCACCCACCTTCACACCATAATTCGCCACGCAATAACGTGAGCGTGGTAAGGCGAACGTCGTGGTCAGCCGGTATAGTGTAGTGTGCCGAGTGCGGTGAGCAATGTGCTCACCATGCACAGTGTGGGAGTGATGAATTTCCAACACCACCCGATCCACCAGTTGGGCCGATACCCAATCATGAGCACCACATCCTCCATGAAGCGGGAGCTACCTGCAAAACAAGGACAAAGATCACCCCGTGTAGCCTTAACACACTGTTGAGGCAAGTGCTGCTAGCAAAGAGCACCTATGAAGGCCGGTACAGCACACAAGGGGGTGGGTGGCCAGCACCACTCCCGGCCGCCTTTTTCTCCCTCGTAGCGATGTTTACACATTGCACCAGGTACTCATTTAAGGCTGAATGAACCTAGGAGAGTGACAGGATAGGTTCAGATAATCGTCACTAATGTTGGCAGTGAGCAGGGATCCAACTCGGGTCACTGGGTTTACCACACAGGGCGCTCATCGCTGTGCTACCGCTCCCCATGTGTGTATATGTGTGTACACACACACATGTACACACACACAGGTGCACGCACACACATGTACACACAGTCCCATCGGTGAGCTCCTCCAGCAAGCGAAGCTGCATTTGCTGGGTCATGTAGCCCACATGGACCAGCTTTTCTTTTTGGCTGGACAGAGGGGGCTAAACAGGCATGCCACGGGCTGGAGAAGAGATATACTGATGTGGTACAGAAGGATGTGGAGCCGATTGGACTTGCCGATGACTGGTACCAGCGGTGTCAAGATCGGCCTCTGTAGAGGAGGCTCGTGAAGGATGCTACTGGGGAGCTGGAGGCAGTCGCCCTCCAGCAACAACGGAGGGCAGAGGAGCGACGCTCATGATCAGCAGAGCGCCGGGCGGCTAAAACGCAGAAAGTTAGCACAGTAGGGGACACAGGTTGTGCATCTGCCAGTCATCTCAGTCAGAAAACCCATCGCATCCGGCTTTGTCCCCCCATGACCTCCTGCCACCGAGCCTCCTCCACTTCGCGTGGCCTAAAAGTGCATCTAGCCTGGCACAAGCGCTGTCTCTATGTGTGACAAATGGCGGTTATTGTTGTTGTGTGTAGACATCTCTGAAAAATAGCTTCATAGCCCATCGGATTCCTCCAGTCTAAATAGCGGTGTGCGCGTCTGTATAGGTTTTTGTGTGTGTATGTGTGTACACGTGTAGGTGTGTGCGCTTGTAGGTGTGTGTGTGTAGGTGTGCGTGGACATCGGTGAAAAATAGCTTCATAGCTCATCGGATTCTGTGCGTATAAGTGTTTGTGTTTCTGGGGATGTGTGTATCTGTTTAGGTGTGTGTATGTTGATGTGTGTGCGTGTAGGCATCTCTGCATGTGGGGAGTGGTAGTGTAGCGGTTAGCGCGCTGCGCTATGAACCCGGCGACCCGTGTTCATGGCCAACACCAGTGACGATTATTTGAACCGGTCCTGGGCCTCCCCTAGGTCGACTCAGCCTAAAATGAGTACCTGGTGTGGTATGTAAACATCACCACTGGGAAGACAAAGGCGGTCGGGCGTGGTCCTGGCCACCCACCCCCTCGTGCAGCGTTCTGGCCTTCATAGGTGCTCGATAACAGCACTTGCCCCAACAGTCTGTTCAGGCTATACAGGGGATCTTTGTCTTTGTGTGTGCATGTGTAAGTGTGCGTGTGTGCATGCAAGTGCGTGTGCAGGTGTATGTGTGTGCGCGCGTTGTACCGTAGACCCACGCCACCACGATGCACTGCCACCCGACCTGCCACAGCAGGGTGTAGCCGCTCACTGCGTAGTTGTCAAACAGCTGGAAGATGTAGATTCCTCCCTGGGAGTGGCGGCAGCACAGCGCTACATTAACGACCCCCGCCGTCACCCCCATTCAAAATCACGAACAATGCCGACCACAGAGCACATAGGGTGGGCGATGGTGTTTACGGTGACTGCTGCTGTTGCATCTGCTGATGCAGCAGCTGATGATGATGGTGTTGGTGATGCTCTTGATGATGTTTGATGCCGACAAAAGCAAAGCTACTGTGGACAATGCCAGTGGTGATATCTTGTTACCACTGCTGCTGAAGGTGCCTCTGCCGTGTGTGATGACAATGATGCTACTGAAAATGGTTATAATTTAGCATATTTGGCATTGCCCCACTGGTTCTTAAAGCGCAAGGCTATTGTTGCGTGTCCCAGACGCAGTCTGGAGTCGTTTCGAAGCGGGGGATGCTGCTGCTGTGTGTGGAGTCCCGTTTGAGTGATTTGCAGAGTAATTTTTCAATATTTGCCACATTTGGGATGGTGACGCCAACACAAGCTCACCTTCTCCCTCATTTCGACTGACATCGTGGGGACGGCGCTTCGTTGTTATTTTACGGTCGGCGCCTCAGAGTTAACCAGGGCGGCCTGGCGGATTCGAACCGCGAACCTCTCTGCGACGACGAGCAGCGAGCGCGGATGGCGCAGGGCCATGTGACACCAATCCCGAGCCAAGCGTCGCTCAAGACGCTTGGCTCGTGAGCGACACGGAACGCGGAACCCGTTTGGAGCTCCCGCAGGTCAGCGCAGCCGTTCCTCTGAGGGTACGGCCCGCGGAAGTGGATATCGCGCAACTACGTCCGGCGACGCTTCACGCGGTGCGGAGCGGCGCTTCCCTTCCCCCCCACCCGTTACCCCCGGGGGCGAGGTGGGGTGGGACGTCGCCACGGCGACGGACGAACCTGCATGACCATGACAAAGCTGACGAGGAACTTGACGACGCAGCAGGCGGCGACGAAGAGCTCGCGCCTCCCGCGGCCTCGCAGCACCGTGGGGAAGATGTCCGAGATGCCTGTCACGAACCCCTCGATCGCCACGAACTGCGAGCGCGGGGGGCACACACGCGGCGCACGGGTCACGCACGCGCGCACGCACCGGTCACGCACGGGTCACGCACGCGCGCACGTCGGGACGTGTCCGGGAGCGGGCGAGCAGGTAGGCGACCGGGCTCGGTTTGTGTGAAGTACGGGCGGGCGGGGCGGGGGGGCGTAGGCGGACCTGGCTGTCGAGGCCGAGCAGCAGCAGCATGACGAAGAAGAGGACGGCCCAAAGCACGGGCACCGGCATCATGGTGACGGCGCGAGGGTACGCGATGAATGCCAGCCCAGGACCTGCAGTACACATACGTAGAGTACACACGTACATAGAGTACACATATTTAGAGTACGCACATACGTAGAGTACGCACGTACATAGAGTACACATATTTAGAGTACGCACATACGTAGAGTACGCACGTACATAGAGTACACATATTTAGAGTACGCACATACGTAGAGTACGCACGTACGTAGAGTACGCACGTACGTAGAGTACGCACGTACGTAGAGTACGCACGTACGTAGAGTACGCACGTACGTAGAGTACGCACGTACGTAGAGTACACACATACGTAGAGTACACATACGTAGAGTACACACATACATAGAGTACACACATACATAGAGTACACACACGTAGAGTACACATACATAGAGTACACATACATAGGGTACACACACATAGAGTACACACGTACGTAGAGTACACACACATAGAGTACACACATACATAGAGTACACACACAGAGTACACACGTACGTAGAGTACACACACATAGAGTACACACACATAGAGTACACACATACGTAGAGTACACACATACGTAGAGTACGCACGTACACGGAACAAAGATCCCCTGTCTAGTCTGAACAGACTGTTGGTGCTGTTAGCGAGCACCTACAAAGGCAGGCACGGTACACGAAGGCGTGGGTGGCCAGAAGCCATGCCCGGCTGCCTTTGTCTCCCTAGTGGCGATGTTTACACATCGCGCCAGGTACTCATTTGAGGCCGAGTCCACCTAGGGGAGGCCCAGGGCCGGTTCAGATAATTGTCACCGGTGTTGACCGTGAGCGGGAATCGAACTCGGGTTGCCGCATGGTGACGGCGCGCGGGTACGCGACGAATCAGCCCGGGGCCTAGCGTACAGGGAGAACAATACCCCATATAGCCCAAACAAACTGTTGGGGCTAGCGCTGTTAGGGAGGTGATAATGGCGGCAATGAAAATGATGACGATGGCAGTGATGGTGACGATGATGGGCATGGCGGCGGTGAAGGTGACGATGGCGATGATGAGAATGATGATGGTGGTGATGGTGATATTGATGGCGGTGTTGGTGATTATGGTGATGACGACGATGATGACAACTGTGGCGATAACGACAACGATGATGATGGCAATGTTGCCGGCGGTGATGCGGCACTCACCGGACTCTGCGACCATGTCGATGGGCACGCCCTGCTCGTGCGCCATGAAGCCCAGGATGGAGAAGACCACGAAGCCGGCAAAGAGGCTCGTGCCAGAGTTGATGAGCGCCAGCACGTACGTGTCCCTAATGAGGAAGTGGAGGCGTGTTAACGAGCGAATGCGCGCACGCACACACGCATCCCTCCTGTCGCCCAAAGAGACTGTAGGGGCAAGTGCTGTGAGGGAGTCTCTGTGAAGGCGAGTGAGGCGCACGCTGGGCTGGGTGGGCGGGCAGCACCACGACCGCTTTGGTCTCCTCAATGGCGATGTTGGTACACTGCACCAGGGACTCATTTGGTGTCAAGTCGATCTTGGGGAGGCCCACAACCGGTTCAGATAATCGTCACTAATCTTGGCCGTGAGCGGGAATCAAACTCGGGTCGCTGGGTTCGTAGCGCGGCGCACGAACCGTTGCACTTCCACATTACGCATACACAAAGACAAAGATTCCCCATGTAGCCTTAACAGACTGTTGGGGCAAGTGGTGTTAGTGAGCACCTATGAAGGCCGGCACGGTACACGAAGAAGTAGGTGGCCAGCACCATGCCCGGCGTACACACACGCACACACATGCGTACACACGCACACGCACCTGAGGCAGTTGTTATGGAAGCGGTTGTAACTGCCGAGGGTGGACAGGGCTCCGAAACCAAGCGCGTACGAGTAGAACGTCTGTGTGCCGGCATCCAGCCACACCTACGGGGTCAGCCACACCACACAGACACACACAGACACACACACACGTGCATTAACACACACACGTGCATTAACACACACCCAAAGATACACAGACAGGTCCAGCCATACTTATGTAATAAAAGGACTCGGACACTTCTCTCTGACTTCGTGTCCTTTATTGGGTTCTTGTCTTCTCCCACACGGCACTCTGTTATAACACTGTATTTGTAGCCCCCGGCTGTTATCGCTATTATAGCTTCCTTTCTCTCCCCGCAGACTCTCTGCTTCGTCTACTGTAACCTCCGTTCTCTCCCTGCAGACTCGCTGCCGACTCCCTATGCAGACCCCCGCTGCTAACCCTATATGCAGACCCTCTTGGCTGCTACTCTGTATGCAGACCCGCTGCTAACTCTGTATGCAGCCCCGCTGCTGACTGCAGCCTCCTCGCTGCTTCGGGTCGGTCACCGCTGGCCAACGGTGCCGATCCTCGCTCCCCTGTGTTCGTGGCGATCTCGCCACCCTCCGCTTCGCCCTTCGTGGCCTCTCTCGTTCCTGGTCCCCCGTCACTCCCTATCCTCTTCCGGTTCCCCTCCTTCTATAGCTTAACCCCTCTCCCCCCACGTGACCTAACTCCTCCCCTCATGACGTCACCTCCGGAGGGCCGTTTACGCCCGCATTACATCACCCTCCCCCATAAAGAAAATCCAGCCGACCTCGGCTGAAATGCAACTTGACAAGCAATGCGGGTGTAAAGGACCAACACGTAAAAAGACACGAAGCATGCAACAACAATATAACAAGAACACAACACAACACAATTTAACGAAACGTGAGGGATTTCGAGCGAGTACGGGTAGCCGGGCCGTCCTGGACGGTCGGCAGCCCACCCGCCGAGCGGGAACGTGGCAGGGTTTTAAGGGCGACGGGAGCGAGTTCATCCGTCGCCATTGGAGGCCCGCCACTGTCCCGGTCGCGTCCAGAGACATCCCGTAATCGCGTCCGCGGAGGGATAGGAAGAGCTGCAGGTTCCGTAGGTTCTGCGGCTCCGGTCGGCATCCCACGAGCGGAACGTCCTCCTTCCTGCGGCGTCACGGCCGGCTTGTCTGTGAAGGGTACGACAGGCGCTCTCGCAAGGTCAGCAGGCACAGGCAAGGGCGAGTCGGTAGCAACAGACCCCGGCAAGGCAACTTCGGGAGATGACGCATCCGGCCGCGGGGCAATGTATGGCTTCAACCGGGATGTATGCACGAACCAGCGCCGCGAACCAACCCGAACACGCGCCGACTGTGGGTTGGGAACCTCAATGAGGCGGACCGGACCTTGCCATGGTTTATGTAATTTAGGAGAGGTACCTGGCCGCACCTGTGGGCAATGAAGCCAGGCCAGGTCCCCCGTTTTCCAGGGGCACTCCCCCTTCGAACGTCGGGCACACCGCTCATTCCTGGCCTGAGCTTTGGCCGTAGCCATGCGGGCTCTTTCCCTCGCCTCAGTGACACGGCGAACGTTGTCCTGAATATACTCAGGAAGAGGCTTAACAGGTCCCCTCGCACCGGTTCCCAACTGCTCATTAATCGGCAGCACATTTTCACGGCCGTACATAAGAAAGAACGGCGAGTATCCAGTAGCCGCGTGCGGCGTCATGCGATACGCCGAAAGCACCCCAGGGATATGCAGATCCCAATCAGATTGATTTTCCCCGACTGTATGGCACAGCATGGCGGATAGAGTCCGATTCAACCGCTCCACCATACCATCCGTTTGTGGGTGGTAGGGGGACGTCCGTATCTTTTTAGTTCCAAGAGCCGCACACACCTCCCCCAACAATTTGGACGAAAAGTTACGCCCTTGATCTGTAAGGAGCCTCTCCGGCGCCCCCTTGTCCATTACATACCCAAATAGAAAGGCGTCAGTGATAGACGCCGCTGACTAGTCAGGCAAAGGCCAGGCCATCGGCCAGCGGGAGAGGTACTCCACCCCCACCAGTAAATACTTATTTCCCTTAGCGGACGGCGGAAAGGGTCCCAAAATATCTAACGCCACCAGCTCATTAACCCGAGATACTTGAATCGATTGTATCGGCGGAACATATGGATGTTTAGGCGGCTTACGGCGGGCACAATCGGTACACGCGCGAACGTGACCGACGACATCTGTCGTCATGCCGTGCCAATAATAGTCTCGCTGCAGCGTCAATAGGGTTTTCTGCACCCCCAGATGTAAAAGTGTGTCACAGTGCAAAGATCTAATCAATTCGTACCGCAATGACGCAGGTACAACGAGACGCCAGTGTTCCTGTATCCCTTCCCTCCACATCAGCAACCCATCTCGGAGAGCAGTTTCCGGAATACCACCCGCACCGAGTTCCTTACCCGCCTTCTCCGTTCGTTTTCGTAACGACACCAAAGATTCGTCCAACATTTGCTCCCGAATCCACACAGACCTCGGAAGACGCAAAATCCCATCAGCCGGTCCCCCATCACCCGGTCCCGGTGTAAGCGGAGTTTCAAGAACATCCACCGCCAGCGCGACAGGCTGAGGGGGGAGCTGAATCGGTCCACACCTATGCGTCCCCGACGCACACGCACAAGGGGATTGTTGCGGCAACCTGGAAAGTGCGTCCGCGTTAGCGTGACGCACACCCTTCCGATGATGAATTTGGAAGGAAAATTCTTGCAGCGTGTCCAGCCACCTCGCCAATTGTCCGGATGGCTGGTCCATCTTAAGAGCATACTGCAAGGCCGCATGGTCCGTGCGGACAATAAACGAGCGACCGTACAGATACGGTCGAAATTGGCGGAGAAAAAAAACAATGGCCAAAAGTTCCCTGCGAGTGACGCAGTAACGGGTTTCCGCGGGAGACAAAACTCGACTCCCATACGCCACCACACGCTCAACTCCACCTTTCGACTGGGACAACACCGCCCCAATACCAGTATCACTTGCATCAGTATCCAGAATGAAGGGATGTTCAAAATCCGGATAATCCAACGTCGGTGCAGTAGCCAGTAAATCGCGCAGGCTCCGAAACGCCGCCTCCTCCGGCGGTCCCCACACAAATTTATGCCCCTTCCCAGTAAGGAGATGCAAAGGCCTGGCGATAGTAGCAAAATTCGGAACAAACCTCCGATAATATGAGGCGAACCCCAAAAACCGACGCACATCACCCACCGTGGCCGGGGTTGCCCAATCACGGACACATGCAGTTTTCTCTGGATCCGTGGCCACCCCGTCCGCACTAACAATATGTCCCAAGTATCGAACGGAGCGTTGCAGTAGGTGACATTTCTTAGGCTTGAATTTCAAATTAGCAGAACGCATTCTGGTGAATACAGCCTCCAACCGCAGTAAATGCTCATCAAATGTGCGGCTGAAGACAATAATATCATCTAAATAAATGAGACATGTCTCCCACTGCAACCCCGTCAATACCAACTCCATCAACCTCTGAAAAGTGGCAGGGGCCGCATTCAACCCCATCGGAAGACAGTTAAATTGGAATAACCCCTGCGGCGTACGGAAAGCTGTCTTTTCTCGCGAGGGCTCGTCAAGGGGGAGCTGCCAGAAGCCCGAAGAGAGATCTAGCGTTGAAAAAAACTTAGCCCCTGACAAGGCGTCGAGAGAATCGTCCATACGCGGCAGGGGATACGCATCTGCCACCGACACTTTATTCAACTTACGAAAATCCACACAAAATCGCAATTTACCATCCTTCTTTTTAACCAACACAACAGGCGCGCCCCACGGGCTATTAGACGGAGATATAATATCCGCTTTCAACATGTCATCCACTGCCCCTCGAACATGCTCACGCTCAGCCGAACTCATCCGACGCGAGTTCAAGCGGATAGGGGCAGCGTCCCCTGTGTCGATATGATGATAAAGCAGCGAGGTGCGTCCCAAGTCCAAATCGTCCGAGCTAAACACATCCGAATAAGTCGATAATAATTTATGAATCGCACAACGCTGCTCGGCGGAAAGGGCCGAATTTTCCCCACATAATTCAGCGATCCAACGATCATCCACCCCTCCATCGTGTGAAACACCACCCACCAGCCCTCCGTCCGGCAGATCACTGTGAGCCGTAAACGCCGTAGTGGCATGTGCCACAACGGTACCAGCCGGCACACACACGCTTTCAGTACTCGCATTTAACACCTGCAAAAACGGGCGCTGATCTCGACGTCGGAGCGGCGCGCAGCGGGCACCCCGTCCCGACGCGGCCGCACCGGCTGCGGAGCCCGCGGCCCTGGCCCGCTCCGGGCCGGCCACGGAGCAGAGGCAGCCGACAACTCCCTCTGGCCGGTCGCATCCGGCACGTACACGGCCTTTGTAGGGTCCCACCCTACGGCCCCCCCATCGACGACAGGACCGCCCGTCCACGCCGTGACCTGTTTCCAGCGGCGGAGATTGAACTGGGCGTCCAGACACTTGGCCGCGGCCCGGGACGTGAGTTTTTCGTGACCGCACGCCGGCATAGGAATGCCAAGATCTCGGGACAACTCCAACATCTTCCCCAAGATGAGAGGTTCCAGCAGGTCAGGCTCCGTCTCCGGGTAAGCGGCCATAGCGAGTTCCAACACGGCGCCCCTATACGCCACAGGTGACTCCTCAGGTGCGCGTTGCCGTTGCACGAATCGGCGATGGGCGTCATCCGGTGGCTCGTACGCGTCCGCCATTTCATCGAACACCCCTCGCAGAGTCTTCTTCTTCGCAGCTTTTATAGAGCGGAAAAAACGAACGGACTCATCATCAAGAAGAGTCGGAAGCACCTCCAGTGCCTCCGCGTCCGTCCACCTTGCTGTACGTACCGCCGCCAAAAATCTACAGGCGAACGCACTCCAATCGCCCCCGATGGAGAATTCTTTGACGGTTGTAAGGTGACGACTGCGACTCCTTGGCTTGCTTCCGTCCGCCGCTGACTCCTCCGGTGGTAAATTCAACAAGGCGTCGCAACGTGGTGTCGACAAGATGGCGGACGACCGTCGCGGCGGTCCCAAAATGGCGGCTTCCCGCTTCCCGTGGTGCGCCACGCCCAAGATGGCGTCTTCACGCCGCGTGGCCGATGGCGGCGCCATCGAAGACGACCCGGGCTCCTGCCGATCACCACCATCACCTTCCGACGCCGCCCTTGGTGTGACAAGGTCACACAACTCAGTGATGACGTTTTTGAGAGTTGCCAGTTGCTCCGCCATCCGGGTCCATCTTAAATCCTCGTCCTTCAACGCAGATGGGTCTGACGAAGCGGCAACCTCCTCGACACCCGGGAACTCACGGATCTCTCCCTCCGCCGAAGTCAAGCCGACCGCAGGAGGAAGATCGTCGTCGTCCGACGATGAAGCCGACGCCGGAGATGGAATATTCTTTTTCCTCAATTGTTTCGCCATGCCGTTTCACTTCTGACTCCAGTGTAATAAAAGGACTCAGACACTTCTCTCTGACTTCGTGTCCTTTATTGGGTTCTTGTCTTCTCCCACACGGCACTCTGTTATAACACTGTATTTGTAGCCCCCGGCTGTTATCGCTATTATAGCTTCCTTTCTCTCCCCGCAGACTCTCTGCTTCGTCTACTGTAACCTCCGTTCTCTCCCTGCAGACTCGCTGCCGACTCCCTATGCAGACCCCCGCTGCTAACCCTATATGCAGACCCTCTTGGCTGCTACTCTGTATGCAGACCCGCTGCTAACTCTGTATGCAGCCCCGCTGCTGACTGCAGCCTCCTCGCTGCTTCGGGTCGGTCACCGCTGGCCAACGGTGCCGATCCTCGCTCCCCTGTGTTCGTGGCGATCTCGCCACCCTCCGCTTCGCCCTTCGTGGCCTCTCTCGTTCCTGGTCCTCCGTCACTCCCTATCCTCTTCCGGTTCCCCTCCTTCTATAGCTTAACCCCTCTCCCCCCACGTGACCTAACTCCTCCCCTCATGACGTCACCTCCGGAGGGCCGTTTACACCCGCATTACACTTACATGGTCAGCCACATAAACATCAGCCACCATTCGCCACTAAGTGTCAGCGACGTCCCCACAGCGCTTGTGCCATGCTAGGTGTACTTTAAGGCCGCGTAAAGTGTTTAAGGCTTACTGGCAGGTCACGGGACAGACCCAGGTGCCATGGGTTGACTGAGATGACTGGCAGATGCACCACCTGTGCCCCCTACGGTGCCAACTTCCTGTGTTTTAGACGCCCAGTGCTCCACTTTTAGAACATTGCTCCTCTGCCCTCCGTTGTTGCTGAAGGGCGACTGCCTCCAACTGCCCAGAAGCATTCTTTATGAGCCTCCTCCACAGAGGCCGATCAGTGCAAGTTCACTCAGCTCCACTTCCTCCTTTACCACATCAGCCCATTTCTTCTCTAGACCGTGCCGTGCCTATTTTCCCCCCTCTATCCGGCCAAATAGAAGCTGCTTGAACACGTGGACTGCATGACCCAGGCAATGCACCTTAGCCTGTAGGAGGAGTTCACTGATGATGGGACTGTGTCCAGATCTCAAGGATCTATGAGCATCTCACACAACCCAGCCTGGTTAAAGCCTGGTTAAACCCAAGATGGATCGTAGGCAGGCCAGCCCGAATGTTTAAAACCGGCAATGTTCCTTTAGAGGGGTCCACGTTTCACAAACGTAATGAAGGGAGGGCAAAACTGTAGCTGAGAAGACCTGAAGATTCGTAAGGAGCAACAGAGACAGGCAGATTCCACACGGCAACGTTACGCAGCTGACGAAAGATAATGCCGTTCGACTGATTCGGAGCGAGACCTCCGCCGCCAAAGCGGAGGCGGCCGTGCGCGCACTGCACCCAAGAACTCGTCCCAACTCTCCCCACGAAGCGTCTCGCTCGCAAGTGAAGAGCAGAGGCAGGGCTGGAAGGTGTGGTGCGCTGGTGAGTGGGGCGCTATCAAGACGACGACGACATCGTCGCGATGCGTAGTGGGGTCGCGACACCGCCACTCGCCTGTGGCGTGGCGAGCTTCTTCCAGTCGGCCTGCAGGTAGTACTTGATGCCACCCATGGCGCCGGGCAAGGTGACGCCACGCGCAAACAGCGCGATCAGCATCAGGTAGCGGAACGTGGACGTGAAGTACACGACCTGCACGCGCGCGGGTACAACACAGGCACAAAGACAAAACCCCCCCCCCCCGCCGTTTGGCCTTTAACAGACTGTTGGGGCAAGTGCTGTTAGCGAGCATGGCGCACGAGAGGGTGGGTGGCCAGCACCACACCGGGCCGCTTTTATCTTCCCAGTGCGGATGTTTTACACCGGGTACTCATTGAAGGCCAATCCATCTAGGGGAGTCCCAGGGACCGGTTAAGATAATCGTCACTGATGTTGGCCGTGAGCAGGAATCAAACTCGGGTCACCAGGTTCGTAGTGCAGCGCGCTAACCCCTACACTACTGCTCCCAACAAGCAACAATAACAACCGCCATTCGCCACTAAGTGGTGGTGACGTCACCACGACGCTTGTGCCAGGCCATGTGCACCTTGAGGCCACGTGAAATGTCGAACGCCCGCTGGCAGGAGGTCACGGGGCAGAACGAGCAGGTGCCACGGGTCGACTGACTGAGATGACCGAGATAATTGGCTGATGCACCACCTGTGCCCCCTACTGTGCCAACTTGCTGTGCTTTAGCCACCCGGCGCTCCGCTCGTTATTGTGAGCGTCGCTCCTCCGCCCTCCGTTGTTGTTGGAGGGCGACTGCCCAGTAGCGTCCTTCATGAGCCTCTTCCACAGAGGCCGATCTTGACACCGCTGGTACCAGTCATCGGCAAGTCCACTCAGCTCCACGTCCTCCTGTACCTCGATCCGGCCAAACAAAAGCTGTTTCGGCATGCAGTGGCTGGACATGCGGGCTACATGACCCAGCCAACGCAGCCTTGCCTGCCGGAGGAGCTCACCGATGGGACTTTGCCCAGATCTTTCAAGGATTTGTGAGCTCCTCACACAAGCCAGCATGGTTAAACCCAGGATGGATCGTAGGCAGGCCAGCCTAAATTTTTCTCACCGGCGAAGATGTTCTATTAAGGGGGTCCACGTTTCGCAAGCATAGAGAAGGGAGGGAATGACTGTGGCCGAGAAGACCTGAAGCTTCGTGCGGAGCGACAGACCAGGTAGCTTCCACACAGCGTTACGCAACCGATGAAAAGATATTGCCGCTCGACTGATTCGGAGTGAGATCTCTGCTGTTAAACTGGAGCCAGTCATAAGCACACTTCCCAGGTATGGGAAACTCTCCACTCTCTCCACAACAGCCCCATCACCGATTGGGAGTTGTGGGGGTGGAGTGTCCGATGGTACAAAATACCCAGGCAGGTGCTTAGTTTTGGTGGGGCTGATGGTAAGGCCCCACCTCTTAGTGGCACGCTCCAGTTTCAGTAGCAGCGTCCCAACAAGCGCACACCCACACACACGCACGTGGGTATTTGTGGAGTTGCCAAAGAGACACGGAGTGCGGCGTGCGGCGTGTGTGCCGCGGTGCCGTGTTTAGTGTGTGTGTGGCGGTGCATTGGGTAGTGTACTCAGTATAGTGTTGTCACGGCGATCCCGTGTGGCAGTGGTGTGGCAGTGGTGTGGTGGTAGTGTGGCAGTAGTGGTGATCCGGTGGTGTGGCAGTGGTGTGGCGGTGATGTGGTGGTGGTGTTGCGGTGGTGGTGTGGCGGTGGTGTGGTTGGGCGGTGTGGTGGGGCTGGTGTGACACTGATATGGTGGTGATGTGGTGGTGGTGGTGTGGCGGGGTGGTGTGGTGGTGTGGTGGGGCTGGTGTGGCACTGATGTGGTGGTGATGTGGCGGTGGTGGTGTGGCGGTGTGGTGGGGGTGGTGTGGCACTGATGTGGTGGTGGTGATGTGACTGTGGTGGTGTGGTGGGGGTGGTGTGGCACTGATGTGGTGGTGGTGATGTGGCTGTGGTGGTGTGGTGGGGGTGGTGTGGCACTGATGTGGTGGTGGTGATGTGGCGGACTGCACCTTTCCCGTGCTGCGAACGCCCTTCCACACACAGAAATAGACGACGAGCCAGGAGGCGATGAGGCACAGCAGCATCTCCCAGTGCACGGAGCCCAAGTCGTGCAGGCCCGTCGTCATGGACAGCACCTTACGCCTACGCACGCACGCACGCACGCGCACAGACGGTGTTTTAATTTGTATTCTTTAGAATATTTCACCTGGGAAATGTACGTGGGGTGCATGAGGGGGTGTCTGGCCAGCTGGATGCCCGGCCGCCTTTGTCTCCCCAATGCTGATGTTTACAGGCCGATCCAGGTACTCGAAGTCCTAGGACCTGTTCAGGCACTCAGAGGCCTTGGACTGGTTCAAATATTCCCCATGATTGATCTTCAGTGGGAATCGAACTCAGGCTCATAGCGCAGTGGGCTAACCACTGCACCACCACTCCAAAGACAAAAACAAACATCCACCGTACAATGTGGCCTGAACAGACTGTTGGGGTAAGTGCTGCTAGCGAGCACCTATGAAGGCCATCAAGCACACGAGGGGGTGGGTGGCCAACACCACGCCTGGTCGCCTTTGTCTCCTCAGTGGCGATGTTTACACACAGCACCAAGTAATTATTTGAGGCCGAGTCGACCTAGGAGAGGCCCAGGACTGGTTCAAATAATCGTCACTGGTGTTGACCGTCAGCAGGAATCGAACCCCCGTCGCCGGGTTCGCCGCGTAACACGCTAACTACTGCACTACCCCTCCGGACACGCGCGTGTACACACCAACGCACACGTACACACGCAGGCCCAGATCCCCCCCCAGCGCAGCACTCACTCCCAGAACTCCACGACGGACGAGGTGGTGACGACGTTGAGCGGTGGGCACGCGTGCCCCAGGGCCGACACGTTGTTCAGCGGCAGCAGCAGCGACGACTCCGACGTGGCATTCGTCAGCGCTGGCCACGCCGTCGACCATGCCGTTCCATTCAGAAACCCGGGACCTGCCGTCCCATTGAGTGACCCCTCCGTGCCGTTGGCGTCCGCCGACGGGTACTGGCAGGTGCCGTCTGAGCAGAGCTTGGTGTTCCACTTGTTGCCGCAGGTAGCCCAGGGCAACGGCCCCATGGTGAAGCAGTGGGCCAGGTAGTAAAGCGCCCAGGCGAGGATCAGAATGTAGTAGCAGTTGCAGTAGAAGACGATGACCATGGAGGCGTAGCCCAGGCCTAGGCATGAACGCAGGCCGGGACAAATGGAACGGGACTCAACAACGCACACCCAGAGGTTTGCGGGGTCATCAGCCAAGGGTGGCGGCAGTCAATTGTGCCATTAGTCAAGAGGGGCATCGGTCGAGGTGGCGGTCAAGGTGTCATCGGTCAGGAGGGGCGGTAGTTGATAGGGGGTGCAGCACCTTTGAAGATCGGCGCGATGCCCCAGGCACCGATGCCGCCCTGCTTGGTGAACTGTCCCAGCGACACCTCCATGAAGAAGCAGGGGATCCCCGCAGCGATGAGCGTCAGGCAGTAGGGGATGAGGAACACCCCTGCGGCGGAGGAAGGAGTGGGTGAGGCGGGGGGGCACATTATTGAGGGGGACCGGACACCCAGATCCGGCGAGAGGGGGTGACCAGATTCGAGTTTCAGAAGGAGGCCGCACACGAGATGCACGAGGGGTTAGAGGTGGAAGGACGGGTGGGCTGGCATGACCTTCTGACTCTAACCCTGAAACAGGCCCAGACCCTGACTCAAACCTCGACCCAGGCCCAGAGCCTAACCCAGACCCAGACCCTTGCCCCAGCCTCTAAACCAGAACCTGACGTAGATCCTAACCCCGACCCTATTACTGACCCTGATCCAGACCCTAACCCTGACCCTGTTACTGACCCTGATCCAGACCGTAACCCTGACCCAGGCCCTAACTTTAACAGTGATGAGGGCAAATGATCATTCATCGCCATGGAGACTGATGGTACAGGAAGTAATAATGGCGACCAACCGCACGGAGGGCAATCCTGGAAAGTGAATCTATTTCTATAACCTAAACTATTTTTTTATTTTACAAGGTAAAGCCCACTGAGCTATGATAATAGGGTTTTCCCCTTTTTTCTGGCAACAAAACAGGTGTTAAGATGTTAAAACACCAAATTGAAACTTTTTCCAAGGAATCATGTCTGCATTAACCACAATACTTGTGATCCTACCGAGCTACATAGCGAGAAGTGACCTGGTAGCACATGATAGCTCAATTAAGTGGCTTATCATGTGGAAATGTAGTGCAGGCAAATGCTTTAAATGCATGTTCATTCTAAATGTGGAGGGAAAAACCGGAGGACCCAGAGTAAAGTCCACGCAACCACGGGGGGGAACATGCAAACTCCAAATATACAGCAGCAGGCATCAGGGTCGGGATTGAACCCACGACCTCCTTTAAACAGGGACCCAGATTAATGGTAGCATTGACTCACTGCATTTCCTCTGCTAAACACCAATCAGACCCCTATTTGGAGGTCTCATAGAGGGGCCACTCTCCCCATTGCCCAACCCCCCACCAATGGCTCTACCACTTATAGGTGCAGGTAGTGGGGAACAAACAAAGGGTTCCAAGACTGGGGTTGTTGGGGTGGGAGGTCGCATCGGTGGTACTCACACTGGGGTCTCCACCCCCTATCTGCCTATCCCCCCCCCCTGGGGCCCTCCCCCCCCCACCCACCAGCATACCCCCCCCCCGCCCCCCAACAAGCGCTATGCTCAGCGACACTCGCGACCTCTGTGCCTCACCTGGGAGGGGGGGGGGTCACTTTTCAGGTCACTAGGTCAAAGTGCAAGCTCACAAAGCTCCCAAGACCTGCGGCAGGGAGGGGTTGGCGAAGGGGCGGGGAAAGAGGGTGGGGGAGGTGGGCGGGGGAGGTGGGGGGCGTTCCACAGAATTGCATGCCACACTATTGAATTGCATCTGCGTCAATAGAGTAATCGCCCCCCCCCACGACCCACATCCTGTTCCAGCATAAGCCAGGCCCCCCTTTTTTCTCCCACCACACGCATCTGCCCCCCTTGAAACAAACAGAGGAGGCCGGGTGGCTCAGAGGTCAGAGACGCTAAGCAGGCACAGCCGAGAGCCTGGGTTCGAATGGCGGTTTAGCCGCCGACTGTGGTTGAACCGGGTTCTCTAGCGCAGCGAGTTCGGGGGTCTCGGTTACCGATGCCTCGCACGGAGACCCCCGGAGAGCCCCTGGACCGCTCCCCACCTCAAGAAGTGAACAATCTGGTGAGCGAACACATGTGGACCTTGCCGAGCGGGCGAGCGAGCGGGCGGGCGGGACCCACCTCCGCCGTTGCGGTAGCACAGGTAGGGGAAGCGCCACACGTTGCCGAGCCCCACCGCGTAGCCCACGCACGACATCAGGAAGTCGAGCTGCCTGCCCCACGTCTGCCGCTCCACTGAACTCCCGACGCCGGCGTCCTTGCCGGCGCCGGCCACATCCCGGGCTCCGGCGCCACCCCCCGCCGCTGCCCCCAGCTCCATCTTCTTCTTCTTCTTCTCCGCGGCGGCCGCGGTGGTGCCGTCAAACATCGGCACACGCACCGACGCCTGCCGGGACTTGCGGTCGCCGTCCATGCCGACGACGGCGTGGTGGCCGCGGTGGACGCGGTGGCAAGTCACGGCATCTTCGTCGTCGTCCTCCTCGTCGTTGTCGTGGCCGTAGTTGTGGTCGAGGAGGAGAGGGCCCGTGGTGTCCGAGTCGGACTGCGAAGAGCACGGGGAGGAGGACACGTGGCGCTTGGGGGATTCGGGGGAGCCCTCTGACATGGTGTGGGAGCGCGGAGGGTTTCTGCACGCACACGCACGCGCACACACGCACGCGCACACACGCACACGCGCACACGCATGCACGTGGAAAACGCAGGGTTAGGGTGGGGTCGCGAGTGCCAGACACGTAGCGATGCTGCGCCGAGCGACAGGGAGAGGAACGTGTGGACGAGGGAACGTGCGCGTGGAAAGCGAGCGGACGGTGGTCGAGACTCGCGACCGAGTGGCAGACGACGGGGAGAGCCAGCGCCTGAGATGACGTCCACCACGGACACGGAGCGGTGGGACCGAGCGTTCGAGGTTGGGGTTAAGCTCAGGGCTAGAGTCAGGGCTCACTCCATGGTCATGCTGGCCTGCCGCGGGCCCATGTGATTAACAAAGGCGAGATTGCTGATGCAGATTGCGCCTGTGTTGTGTACAAAACATCAACAATGCCACTTTCAGTCATCGCTGGTCTATTAATTTTACGTAGGTTACCCTACGAGGGGTGGGGGTGTGGGGGCAGGGTGGGGGGGCAGTGTCCCAATGCCTAAATATAGCGCTGTGTGTATGATCACGGATAGTTATTGTTAGGGTCTATTGTTAGGGTAAGGGATGGTCCTATTGTTTGGGTCAGGGATGGTCCTATTTGTATGGTCAGGGATGGTCCTATTGTTAAGGTGAGGGAGGGTTTTCTTGTCAGCATCACAGATAAATATACATCGGTATGGTCAGAGTTATTGTTACGGCAAAGGTAAGTACGCAGTAAAGATGCCAACGTGAGGAATGTTGGCATGCGGTTGGAAGCGTTGGCCCATCGCCCCATGTTTACTGGAGAGTTCTAATGTTCGGCTCTGGGCTTGGGAATCGCTGTGGGACAGGGGTAGTGGAAAATTCCACGAGGAGAGGAGGCCCGACAGCGCCCCTAGTGGACCCCGCATGTGCAGCACACTGCACGATACGAGAGGGTGGGCGGGAAATCCCTATACCCCCTTTACCTCTGCGACTTAATTAGCCTTATACAATAGGGGTATAGGGACTTCCCGTCCGCCCACCCTGTAATGCATGTACACATATTGAGTACCATAAAGTACATAATCGAACAGCTCGTGTACACGGTGTATGCTGCACAACACAATGTATAGTACCTCACATACACGGAGTGTACACGGTGTTATTACAGCTATTTTATTGGGTGGTAGAAAAGTCCCTATACCCCTTTACATCCGCTGGTCCGTACGAACGTATGAGGCGCGGGTATAGCGACATCTCGCCCACTCTGCCGAAGAGTGTATACCATTATGTATAAGTACTAGCTGTACTACCCGGCTTCGCCCGGGACTTGTATCCACCACGGCCGGCCGCCTTTGCCTCCCCAGTGGCGATGTTAATACGCCACACCAGTTACTCGTTTGAGGCTGAGTGGACCTATGGGAGGTTCAAATAATCTTGACCGGTGGTGGCCATGAGCGGGAATCGAACTCGGTTCGCCGGGTTGGTAGCGCAGCGTAGCGTTAACCACTACACCCACCGCTCCTCACACACACAGATGCACAGACACACACACAGACACACGCAGACACACACAGACAGACACAGACAGACACACAGACACACAGACAGCACGCTAACCACTACACTACCGCTCCCCACACACCACACACGCACACACACAGACACACACACAGACACACAGACAGCACGCTAACCACTACACTACCGCTCCCCACACACCACACACGCACACACACAGACACACACACAGACACACACACAGGCAGCACGCTAAGCACTACACTACCGTTCCCCCTACACACCACACACGCACACACACAGACACACACACAGACACACACACACAGACACACACACAGACACACACACACAGACACACACACACAGACACACACACACAGACACACACACACAGACACACACACACACAGATACACAGACACACACACACAGGCAGCACGCTAAGCACTACACTACCGTTCCCCCTACACACCACACACGCACACACACAGACACACACACAGACACACACACACAGACACAGGCAGCACGCTAAGCACTACACTACCGTTCCCCCTACACAACACACGCGCACACACACAGACACACACACAGACACACACACACAGACACACAGACACACACACACAGACACACACACAGACACACACACACAGACACACACACACAGACACACAGACAGCACGCTAACCACTACACTACCGCTCCCCACACACCACACACGCACACACACAGACACACACACAGACACAGACAGCACGCTAACCACTACACTACCGCTCCCCACACACCACACACACAGACACACACACAGACACACACAGACACACACACACAGACACACACACAGACACACACACAGGCAGCACGCTAAGCACTACACTACCGTTCCCCCTACACAACACACGCGCACACACACAGACACACAGGCAGACACACACACACAGACACACAGACAGCACGCTAACCACTACACTACCGCTCCCCACACACCACACACGCACACACACAGACACACACACAGACACACACACACAGGCAGCACGCTAAGCACTACACTACCGTTCCCCCTACACAACACACGCGCGCGCGTCCATAGGTACACATACACGCGCTTGCTGCAGACACACACATACACACACATACATACAACAACAACAACAACCGCCATTCGCCACTAAGTGGCGGTGACGTCACCACGATGCTTGTGCCAGGCCAAGTGCACCTTGAGGCCACGTGAAGTGTCGAAAGCCCGCTGGCAGGAGGTCACGGGGCAGACCCAGGTGCCACTGGTCGACTGACCGAGATGACCGAGATGACTGGCTGATGCACCACCTGTGCCCCCTACTGTACCAACTTGCTGTGCTTTAGCCACCCGGCGCTCCGCTCGTTGTTGTGAGCGTCGCTCCTCCGCCCTCCGTTGTTGTTGGAGGGCGACTGCCTCCAACTGCCCAGTAGCGTCCTTCACGAGCCTCCTCCACTGAGGCCGATCTTGACACCGCTGGTACCAGTCATCGGCAAGTCCACTCAGCTCCACGTCCTCCTGTACCACATCACTCCATCTCTTCTCCAGCCCGTGCCGCGCCCGTCTAGCCCCCTCGATCCGGCCGAACAAAAGCTGTTTAGGCATGCGGTGGCTGGGCATGCGGGCTACATGACCCAGCCAACGCAGCCTTGCCTGCCGGAGGAGCTCACTGATGGGACTTTGCCCAGATCTTTCAAGGATTTGTGAGCTCCTCACACAATCCAGCCTGGTTAAACCCAGGATGGATCGTAGGCAGGCCAGCCTAAATGTTTCCAACCGGCGAAGATGCTCCACCAGGGGGGTCCACGTCTCGCAAGCGTAGAGAAGGGAGGGAATGACCGTGGCCGAGAAGACCTGAAGCTTCGTGCGGAGCGACAGACCAGGTAGCTTCCACACAGCGTTACGCAACCGATGAAAAGATATTGCCGCTCGACTGATTCGGAGTGAGACCTCTGCTGATAGACTGGAGCCGGTCATAAGCACACTGCCCAGGTATGGGAAACTCTCCACTCTCTCCACAACTGCCCCATCACCAATTGGGAGTTGTGGGGGTGGAGTGTCCGATGGTACAAAATACCCAGGCAGGTGCTTGGTTTTGGTGGGGCTGATGGTAAGGCCCCACCTCTTAGTGGCACGCTCCAGTCTCAGCAGCAGCGCCTCCAACTCCTCTTCTGAATGAGCAGCTATTACCAAATCATCGGCATACATAACGTGGTTGACCAATAGGGAGCCATCCCTTGATCGCACCCGGGCGTCGATCAGCCTCCCATTATATCTGTACCAAATGGAAATTCCCCCGGTACAGCTATTGAAGGCTTCACGAACTACGCGGTCAAAATAGATGTTAAATAATGTGGGAGCCAGAGGACATCCCTGTCGCACCCCAAGGTGTACAGGGAAAGGCTCCGACTCCCGGCCACGTAGTTTTACCCGGGCCCGCTCACCATCATGAAGGTCAATTCATTACCACTAAACCACGAATTAAACACATACATACACGCACATACACACAAACACATACACACACATACAAACACATACATACACACAAACACATACACAATACACACACACACATACAGACACACACATACATACACACAAACACATACAGACACATACATACACACATACATACAGACACACAGACATACACATAAACACATACACACATAGTCATGACCCGGCTTTGCCCGGGACTTGTATCCACCACGCCCGGCCGCCTTTGTCTCCCCAGTGGCGATGTTAATACGCCACACCAGTTACTCGTTTTGAGGCTGAGTCCCTCCCTCGCCACTCTCCCTCTCTCGCCACTCTGCCTCCCTCGCCACTCTGTAGAGGACGTGAAATTTGTATGAATTTACCTCAGAGTGGCGTGTTGGGTGTCGAGGCCTAGCACCGTGCAGAGCCTCCCGCCTTGCCTGATTTTCCCACCCGGCGAACGCTGGGTACGGGTGCCGGTCCCCCCCCCCGCGCTATTAAAAATGGCGTCCACCCCGCGGCGAAAAGTTGCTACTCGTTGCCAGGGGCAACCGCCGTCCAATGAAAGCGGCGAAGGCGTCGTTAGCTGTTGCCAGGGGCAACCGCCGTCCAATGAAAGTGCGTATGGTCCGAAATCCACACACACAGACAGACATGCACGATTTTATATATATAGATATACAATACACCACTGCGTTGTATATACACTGCAATGTATTGTATACTGTAATACACTACGTTGAACTGCGTGTACGCAGAGTACGCGTGTGTGCGTGTACACGGCACTGTCCTGTACGATATAAATAATTAGGCGAGCGATTGAAATATTACAGTGTGAGATGGAGAGATAAAAGCGGGCGGGATATCACATACCATGTGTTGTGCGACATCCGATATCTCCCACGAGCATTCCACACGGCCCCTCGAGATTCACTCATTCCTCCCATCCATTGCATCACTCACTGTGCCTGATGATTCACTAACTCATTCATTCATTCACTGGCCGCCATGGTTCATTCATTAATCTTTCATTCGCTGTGCCCCAGGGATCACTCATTATTTCACCAGATACCAGAGTTCACTCAATCTTTCTTTCATTCATCAGGCCCCACAGTTCACTAATTCAATCATTTGGCACTATGGCTCACCAATTAATTCCTTCATTCATTGGACTCCATGGTTCACTCTTTCATTCAATGACTGGGCCGCAGGAATTATCCACTAATCAGGTCCCTGAAATTCATTCACCCCAACGTCGCAGGCGGTAGCGTGGGGAGGCCTTCAACCAGCAGTGGAACGCTCATGGCCGCTGCAGCTGCTAATGATCACTGTGCTCATCTTCAGCTCACCCGTCTCAGAGAGTCATATTTCACCCGTGTTTCAATATTTTTAATGTCAACTCAAGTTGGGCCACAATTTCTGGCTGCAGCCTGAATTTTCCGGGCTGGTCCCATTTCGCGATCTAGCCCCGAGTTCCCTACGGCGAGATTAGATTTTGGGGCCGTGCGGAATCGTCACAGCGCGTGCTCCGGGCAAACGCCAACGCGATCAGAAAATGTCATGGGGCGGCGGGAAACATTTAATATTTCATTTCAGTTAAATATTCAACGACAATAACAACCATGGTCTTCACCTTTGACCCGGGAGGGGGGGGGGGGGTCGCCGCACCCCTCTCAAACTCCAAAAAATCTTATTAAATCCTTTATATTAAGTTCGCATGCTTGCTTGCTTGCGTGCTTGCTTGCTTGCGTGCTTGCTTGCTTGTGTGCTTGCTTGCTTGCTTACGACCGTGCAAATCTTTCGGTCGTTTTTTAACCCACTTCCCGTGATCCAATCGAGCTGACATTTTCCACACAGACTCGTTGTGCCAGACAATTAATGTTCGTGAAAAAAAGATTCCCAAAATTTTACACTTTTTAGGCAAAAAAAATGTATTTTACATATATTCAAATAGAACTCATTCATCGCTTTGGCTGAACGTCACAGTATAAGAGCCCAGAGCGTAACCCCTCCACAGGCCGTGGCGGAGTAGCGCAGTTGGTAGCGCCCTCACTTCCCATGCCAAAGGTCGCGGGATCGATCTCCGCGTCCTCCACAGGCGAATATATTTTTAAATCCTTTATATTAAGTTCGCTGCCACGCATATAAAGGATTTATAGTGAAAAACTTTGTTTTTACGGGTTATACTTATTCATATTGGCATTGAATATTTGTTTCATGATTGCACATACCAAATAAAAAAGCAATGTTTTGACACATTTATAGATCCACCACTGAATTTGACCAAAGTCTGGCCATCCACTGCTGTAGTAACTCCAGTACTTTCACTCAGAAAATCACGGAAATGACACTATTATTGTATTACTAATATTAGTTATTTGTAATACTAATTATTATGTTTTTGCCTAGAAACAAGGTGACGTCGCGCACGTCACGCGGCGCTCGCGCTGCTGGGTCGAAACCGCCCGACACCAGCCGTCATCCCTCGGCGATGATCCACCTGTTTGGGGCCCATCGCTCGGCCCGTCTAAACGCGATGGCTGCCTCCCCCGCCACCCCTCTCCCCCACCCTCCTGGCATCGTTGCTTTCCTAAGACAGGACACCGGTCCAGAGTCCTCGCACCTACCGCTCGGTACGAGTCTCGGAATCCGCCGCATCGATTGCACTCGGGACCGCTGAGTTTGATGTGGCAATACAGGACAGAGGCCAATTTGCCCGTATCGTAAAATACCAATAATTCACAGCCCCTTTGTCAAGCCACTGCTGGACAAAGGCCGTTTCCCATACCATGTGGGTCGTGCGGGTTGTCTTGACCATACTTCACCACGCTAGTTCAGTGCGGGTTGGTGAAGGGTACTGGGAGGGGTGCCGCCTTGACCGCTTCAGATATCTAAACTAAAACTGTAAAATATTTTTATTCTAAGTAAGGCCCATTGAGCTATGCAGCTTTTTTTTAGAAAGCGACCGGGCCCAAGTGATCATTAATCACCATTGGAGACAGATAATGCAGGAGGTAAGAATCGCTGCCAAGTTCTGTAAGTTGAATCTCTTCCTATAAACTATTTTTATTTTACCAGATAAAGCCCACTGAGCTACATAGCTCTTTTTCAGAAGTGACCTGGCCACAAATGATAGCTCAACAAAGTGGGTTATGATGTGGAAATGTATAGTGGCCAAATACTCTAACCGCACGTTGATTCTAAATGTGGAGCGGAACAACCAGAGGAACGGATAAAAATCCACGCATAGTTTAGTTTAGGGAGGAGTGGGAGGCATGCCATCACGACTGGCTCAGCTATCGACCACTGCTGATGTTAGCCGTGGCTATTAGGAAATCGAATGCCAGGTCCTTGGCTCCATCTCCCTCCACCACCTTGCCTGCCCGATCAGGAACTCTCCTCTTTGCGTCACTCCCGTCGAGTGGTGCATCTCTCTCTCGCGCCGCCTCTCGGCCTCGTTCCCGACACCCGAGCCTTGCAGCTCCCGGCTCTGAGAAAAATGTGGCCGACCCACAACGATCGCCCATTCTGAGTCGCTCCAACCAACCACACTTCGCATCTCCCCAACCTGCTCCACAGCGTCCTCGTCTCTAGCTCTCTGCATCCAACTGGCTGTCTCCATTCGGGGCCCACAACCCACGTCTCCCTTTCTTTGAGTGCAGGTTTCTGCTACATGGTCCAGAGGAGGACCTAGAACTTCCCAAGGAGGGGGGGGGGGGGAGGTCGTCCCAAAGTCGCAAACGTTTTTAACAGGGCCCTTACATTCGTAATACAATCATTCAATGTATTTTATCTGGTGAATATCAATAAAACACAATTTCGGGGTCGCATGGCAGACTTCAAACCTAAAGACAGACCAAAGTGATTCTAACCAGGGCCACGTCGGCCACATGGGCCACTTGAACGTGACCTGAGCCAGGTTAAGTACCTCCTTGGTGGACAGGTGAGGAGACGGGAAGGTGGAGGATGGTCGTGGCGTCGAGCAGGACACTGGTTTTGAGTTAGGCTGGCAGCTGGGAGCCTAGGCATGGACGTACACACACACACACACAGAGAGGTGTCATTTACACAATCACGTGGTATCACCGGCCGTGGTCTATCCACTGCTGGACGAAAGTCTCTCCCAAGCCGCCACTATCTCTCAGAGTCCAGCGATGCGACGGTCCACCGTGCGCCTGCGGTGGACGTTCTGTCGGACACTGCTCCCTCCTTTGGCCGCCACTCCGGTCTTAGTCTCAGCCTCTGGCGAGTCGTACCTCCTTGCCTTGACGCATGCTGCCAGAGCCCACTCGCCGTGTTTACACTGAACGGTGCCTCTAACTTGCGTATCATCTCTGATCAACACGTTCCTCCTCTTTATATCTCTCGGTCCAATTCAATACCTCTTCCCTTCCACCTCACGCGGATTTCCCTCCATGCAACGCTCCGCTCCAACAGCGGCTGCTCTCTGTGGAAACCCAGCGGTCAGGTTTCACTCAGTGGGAGGTCGCTCATTTTCCTCTGCTGCACCCACAGTCTGGAACAACTTCATTCCCCCAGCGGACCACACTGTCAACTCCCTGCCCCTGTTCAAGTCCAGACTCAATAATTCCTCTTGTCCTTTGCATATGACCGCCTCGCCTTCCCATACTCACAGAGAGATCCATAGACTTACAGAGAGACCCATAGACTTACAGAGAGACCCATAGACTTACAGAGAGATCCATAGACTTACAGAGAGATCCATAGACTTACAGAGAGATCCATAGACTCACAGAGAGATCCATAGACTCACAGAGAGATCCATAGACTTACAGAGAGACCCACGGACTAACGTGAGAGACCGACAGACGCACAGACCCATAGACTAACGTAAGAGATCTACGACTATCTAGATTTGAAGGTCTACGACTGCACGTGTTAACACCGCGCGGTATACACAGGGACGTCGTCTACACCCCATGGTATACAGTTACATACTCATACGCCTCGGTTCTTTCGGTAAAGCCACGTAGGTAGTAAGTAATAAGTCACGACGTTTCTATAGCAACACAAGCGACCGTCATCAGGTGAGACAATCACAGCAGGGAAACTGCTGAAGCAGGCGAGGGCGCTGCCGTGACACGAGGCTATATAGGGCAGGGTAAGGGGGCGGGGCTAGAGGTGAGGGAGAGAGGGGGGCGGGGCTAGATATGGGAGAGGGGGGCGGGGCAAGAGATGGGGGAGAGAGGGGGCGGGGCTAGAGATGGAAGAGGGGGGCGGGGCTAGAGATGGGAGAGGGGGGCGGGGCTAGAGATGGGGAAGGGGGGCGGGGCTAGAGATGGGAAAGGGGGCGGGGCTAGAGATGGGGAAGGGGGCGGGGCTAGAGATGGGGAAGGGGGCGGGGCTAGAGATGGGAGAGAGAGGGGGGCGGGGCTAGAGATGGGAGAGAGAGGGGGGCGGGGCTATAGATGGGAGAGAGAGGGGGGCGGGGCTATAGATGGGAGAGAGAGGGGGGCGGGGCTAGAGATGGGAGAGAGAGGGGGGCGGGGCTAGAGATGGGAGAGAGGGGCGGGGCTAGAGATGGGAGAGAGAGGGGGGCGGGGCTAGAGATGGGGAAGGGGGCGGGGCTAGAGATGGGAGAGGGGGCGGGGCTAGAGATGGGGAAGGGGGGCGGGGCTAGAGATGGGTGGCTCGCCAGGGGGAGAGTTTGAGACGAAGATGAGTGACGTGAATATTCACGTCACTCGCCTTGTGCCCGTCCTAGGACGGGAGATGTAATATTTACGAAAAAATGTATCAGAGTATATTTTGTGTAAATTTGATGGCAGTGAATCGTGCACAAAACGAAGTCAGGAAACACCTCACTTCATGTCACCACTGTAGCACTGTATGTAAGTGACCTTCAATTTGTTCAAATTCACTGCTCTGATACTTTATTCACTTCTGCTTTCGGTCGCTGGGGTTGAAATTAATTGGAATTCGATACAATATCTGGAAAGTCACCGAGAAATGTCTATTTTACCATAATGTATAAGCATCAATTAGACTAACCTTTTGTCTCAAGTGCTGAAGAAATAAAGATACCAAATCCACGTTGTTGCGGCGTAGAATTATTTATTAGATTCACTTTCAACAAGGAAATGTGAAACTTAAAGCGAATTTGCGAAAAAAATTGTATTTCCGCTCGACCTTCTGTGTGAGTGTAAAAATCCACCCGCTCATGAATATGAATGAGGGGGGGGGGGGCATGTGGAGTGACGTCACGCGCGTTACACACAAACATACATTCTTGGCTAATGTAATGGTATAGTGACATATACACTGCATCAGATAAATGTTTTTATACACTACACAGTATACAGTTGCATATTCATTACACGGTATACATGGTGACATGTACACTACATTGTATAAATGTTTTTGTACACGACATTGTATTAATGTACACAGACACTACATTGTATTAATGTTTATGTACACTACATTGTCAAGCCTGTGACAGGCTGCAGGGGCAAGTGCTGTTAGCGAGTAGCAGCACCTATGAAGGCCGGCACGGCACACGAGGGAGTCGGTGGCCAGCACCACGCCCGGCCGCCTTTGTCTCCCCAGTGGCGATGTTTACACCGCACCAGGGAATAATTTGAGACGGAGTCGACTTAGGGGAGTTCCGGGACCTGTACAGATTTGGCCGTGAGAGGGAATCGAACTCGGGTCGCCGGGTTCGTAGTGCAGCGCAAACCGCTACACTACCGCTCTCCTACACACACATACACTGGCACACACACGTGCACACTGTCACACACGTGTACCCTGTCATACACACGTGTATCCTGACACAACAACAGCACAACAACCGCCATTCGCTACTAAGTGGCGGTGACGTCACCACGACGTTTGTGCCAGGCCATGTGCACCTTGAGGCCACGTGAAGTGTTGAACGCCCGCTGGCAGGAGGTCACGGGGCAGACCCAGGTGCCACGGGTCGACTGACTGAGATGGCCGAGATGACTGGCTGATGCACCACCTGTGCCCCCTACTGTGCCAACTTGCTGTGCTTTAGCGCTCCGCTCGTTGTTGTGAGCGTCGCTCCTCCACCCTCCGTTGTTGCTGGTGGGCGACTGCCTCCAACTGCCCAGTAGCGTCCTTCACGAGCCTCCTCCACAGAGGCCGATCTTGCCACCGATGGTACCAGTCATTGGCAAGTCCACTCAGCTCCAAGTCCTCCTGTACCACATCACTCCATCTCTTCTCTAGCCCGTGCCGCGCCCGTTTAGCCCCTTCGATCCGGCCGAACAAAAGCTGTTTCGGCATGCGGTGGCTGGGCATGCGGGCTACATGACACAGCCAACGCAGCTTTGCCAGCCGGAGGAGCACACCGATGGGACTTTGCCCAGATCTTTCAAGGATTTGTGAGCTCCTCACACAATCCAGCCTGGTTAAACCCAGGATGGATGGTAAGCAGGCCAGCCTAAATGTTTCCAACCGGCGAAGATGCTCCATTAGGGGGGTCCACGTTTCGCAAGCATAGAGAAGGGAGGGAATGACTGTAGCCGAGAAGACTTGAAGCTTCGTGCGGAGCGACAGACCAGGTAGCTTCCACACAGCATTACGCAACCGATGAAAAGATATTGCCGCTCGACTGATTCGGAGTGAGACCAACTGCTGTTAAACTGGAGCCGGTCATAAGCACACTGCCCAGGTATGGGAAACTCTCCACTGTCTTCACTACTGCCCCATCACCGATTGGGAGTTGTGGGGGTGGAGAATCTGATGGTACAAAATACCCAGGCAGGTGCTTAGTTTTGGTAGGGCTGATGGTAAGGCCCCACCTCTTAGTGGCACGCTCCAACCTCAGTAGCAGCGTCTCCAACTCCTCCTCTGAATGAGCAGCTATTACCAAATCATCGGCATACATAACATGGTTGACCAATAGGGCGCCATCCCTTGATCGCACCCGGGCATCGATCAGCCTCCCATTATATCTGTACCAAATGGAGATTCCCCCGGTACAGCTATTGAAGGCTTAACGAACTACGTGGTCAAAATAAATGTTAAATAATGTGGGAGCCAGAGGACATCCCTGTCGCACCCCAAGGTGTACAGGGAAAAGCTCTGACTCCCGGCCACGTAGTTTAACCCGGGCCCGCTCACCATCATGAAGGTCCTTAATGATCGTGAGCAGAGGGTCAGGGACTCCGGAAGCACGAAGAACAACCCAGAGCCCAGGCCTACTGATGGTATCATAGGCCTTGACCAGGTCAATAAAGCAGAGATGTAGGTCTTGTTGAAATTCCCTACACCTCTGCTGTAGCAGACGGACAGAAAATATGGCATCTGTGCAGGACCGCCCTTTCCTGAAACCGCATTGGGGCTCCGCAAGCCTCTCCTCAGCGTGCCTAGCAAGGCGATGTTGAATAATCCTTGCCAGGACCTTTCCCGGCACACTGAGGAGTGAGATGCCCCTGTAGTTGTTACAGTCTGTGCGATCCCCCTTCTTAAAAAGGGGGACTACCAGGGCATCCTTCCAACCCTGCGGAACCCGTTCAGCGGTCCAGACTGCTGTTATGATGTCATATAGGGCAGTCTGTGCACAAACGCCACCCTCCCTCAGCATTTCGCTTGGGAGATCATCTCTGCCCGGTGCCTTTCCCGGTCTCAGACTCCGGATCGCCTTCAGTACTTCCTCAACAGATGGCACCTCAACCAGCCACTCATAGGGGGTGACCTCTTCCAATATTTGAGGCACCGCAGCCTCAGCAGGGTCATCCCCACTTTGTGCCATGATGTTTTCCTGGCTGAAGGATTTCCCCTCCCCCAGGACCTCACAGAAATGCTCAGCAAATCTGCAAAACTGTTCCTGTGGGTCGGAGAATGGATCACCGTTTTTTCCCCTAATTATGGTAATAGGTGTGGCGCTGCAGGTTACTTTTTTGATGGAGTTAAATAGTGATTTGTGATCGCGGGCCACTGAGGCAGATTCCATCTCCTCAGCAATCCGCGACCACCACCCATCCTTGCAGCGCCTTACGGCTCTCCGAACCTCCGAGCGAAGGCTGCGGTAAGCCTCTTCATTCTCTGACGTGGGATGCTGTAGCCGATGAGAGTGGGCCTGTCGCTTTTTCTCAACTATCCTGAACACCTCCTCTGTCAGCCAGGGTCTCTGGGGAGGTCTGGACCACGTACCCAAAGCAGCCATTGCAGCTGCATGAGTCACAGTCCTAAACCTCGCCCATTTACCCTCGACATCAGGAGGAGTGGGGGACGATGCCAACCCCAGCTGCAAGCGATGATTAAATTCTCGCTTGCAACTTTCATCAGCTGAGACCAGGCCACTTTAGGTTGGAATGGGATCCTGGGTGTACACCCACCACCGGAGTGGAAGAATGGCAGGCGCATCTTACAGATGACAAGTCGATGGTCAGAGGGCACATCAGCTCCACGGTAGGTCCTGGTGTCAAGGACATGGGCTCGCATCCGCTAATCCGTCACTATGTAGTCCAGCAGATGTTCTTGCTTGGACCCGGCATGCATCCATGATGTTGTGTGGATGCGCCGATGCCGGAAGAGCGTGTTGGTAATTACAAGCCCATGGGCTGCACAAAATCTAGCAGCCTCCTACCGTTGTTATTGAGCTGATCTGGCCCATGCCTTCCAATCACTCCAGACCAGGTGCCAGCATCATGACCAACTCGGGCATTGAAGTCACCCAACAAGATGACTCTGTCCCGAGTGGCCACTTTAGCCAATCCTGACACATACACTGTCACACACACGTGCACACTGTCACACACACACGTGTATCCTGACACACACGTGCACACTGTTACACACACACGTGTATCCTGACACATACACTGCTGCTACATATCACACACCCCACGCTTTCACATCGGTAACACACCTGGTGGGAACGATGCCGCTGACGACAATGCCGTTGCTTGGTGGCTGCTGCTGCTGATGATGATGCTGCTGCTGATGCTGCTGATGATGATGCTGATGCTGCTGATCGCGACGCAAATGACTTCACACCGCTGCAGGTGGACACAGAGCCTGATGAGTGTCACCAGCAGCAATTGGAGTGAGGGTGCAGCAGCAGTAGTTGTAGTGAGTGTGGTGTGGTGGGCTACACCCGGAGATGGCTCAGTGAGTGGGGAGCGCGCGGCGGGGGGGGGGAGGAAATACCCCGCCCACAGTCCCAGCCACCCCCCCACCACCCCCCACGGTCCCAGCCCCCCCACCAGCCCCCACCCCCCGAATGGAAAATTACCCCGCGCAGGCCTCCTCCTCCTCTGTGCGGGGCGCAGCGCCCCCTAGCGGACGGCCCCGCTCGCCCCCTGCGGAGCCCCGCGGCTGTGACGAATGATTCTTTAATAGTAATGATTGGTGGTGGTGGTGGTAATTGGTGGTTATTGACCGTTATGGTGGTGATGATTGGAGGTGGTGCTGCTGATGATCATTATTTATGGTAGTGACAGCGATGGTTGATGGTGATAACTGATGGAGGTTGGTGATTGATGGTTGTGATGATACCGATGTTATTGATGTTTACTGGTGCCGATGATTATTGGTGCCGATGATTATTGATGCCGATGATTGTTGGTGATGATGATGATTGGCATTGGTGGTGAAGGTTATTGATGATGAATGTGATGACGTTAGTGATGTGTACTGACGCTGCTGTTGAAGAGTGAAGGTGGTGGCGAGGGTGAGGATTGATTTTTGATTCATGGTCGTGATCGTGATATTGACGTCTCCTGGCGCTGCTGCTGATTATTGATGGCGGTGTCGATGATGGTGATACTAATGTTTACTGATGATTATTATTGATGATGGTTACTGATAGTTACTGATGCAGCTGAGGTTGATGGTGCTGCTTACTGATGATTATCACGATGATAAATGATTCTTGATGGTGGTGATGCTAATGGTGTTCTTTGTCACCGCGAGAGATGGTGATGCTGATGTTAAGAGAGTTATCCTGCTGCTGATATTGATGTAATCGATATACTCACTGGAGCTGCTGCTGCTGATAATGACGCTGCTGCCGGCGTTTGCTGCTGATGGCTGGTCGATCTTTTCCAATCAACCGACTATATAATCCACGATCTCCTGATCACATTAACACCGATGTATAAAGGGTATGTACACACACTGCATGTATACTGCCCGTGTTATGTACGTGTGCAACGCTCCATATACATACGATGTAGCAATGTGTGTCTACGTTTGTTATGGTGTGCGCACTGCAGTATAAGGGTTTTCTCTAATTATAGCCGGGGGTATCGCTTCAGTGATACCTAATTTAATAAATAATGTGTGCCGAGAATTATATAACTGTGTGCTGCAGTAAAGGATCTCGGTGTATATAATACGATCTGTGTGTGTGTTATGCTACGGTATAAATGTGTCCATACAACACTATTAACTATGTCGACTATGTTATCCTAAATCTTCTGTACATACAAGCAGGTACAATCACACGTTCCGTTGTGTTGCTGACGTCGAAATTAAAATATTATGCCAATTCCATCGGCCGTTTGGTTTTCCAGCCCAATATGACCCAGCTCACTGTGTGTACTGCGGTATTAAGGTCTCTGTGTCACACGATCACTGTACTGTATATATGTTTATTGCATACTAAAGGTAACAATGTGTATATGATTGTGTGTACTACAGTGTTTAATGGTATCTGTGTAACAATAAATATATCTGCGTGTACTGCACTATAATAAGGGTGTTTCTGTTGATCCAACACGATCTCTCTGTACGTGTGCACTGCGCTGGCGATCTCTGTGTAATAACCTGAACGCGCCCTCCACTCTCTGTGTCCTGCAGCATCAGGATCTCTGTCCCAGCCTCCCTCCTTACCGCACCTCTCCCTGCCTTTTAACATCCCGTTTACGCGTCGGGGGAGGAGGCTGGCTGGCTGGGTGGGGGGTTGTTGTTGATGATGATGGTGATGGGGGATGGAGTAAAAGGCGGTATAAGTTGTTATTGGGGTTCGCTTTAATACTATTAAACAGTTGCAAAACAAAACGCTTGGCGGGGTGGACTGGAGGTGGAGACAACGGAGGGGTGTGTGTGCCCGTGCTGCGTGTGTGTCTGGAGTGTGTGTGTGTGTGCCTGGAGTGTGTGTGTGTGTGTGCCTGGAGTGTTTGTGTGTGTGCCTGGAGTGTGTGTGTGTGTGCCTGGAGTGTGTGTGTGTGTGTGCCTGGAGTGTGTGTGTGCCTGGAGTGTGTGTGCCTGGAGTGTGTGTGTGTGTGCCTGGAGTGTGTGTGTGTGCCTGGAGTGTGTGTGTGTGTGCCTGGAGTGTGTGTGTGCCTGGAGTGTGTGTGTGTGTGCCTGGAGTGTGTGTGTGCCTGGAGTGTGTGTGCCTGGATTGTGTGTGTGTGTGCCTGGAGTGTGTGTGTGTGTGCCTGGAGTGTGTGTGTGTGTGTGCCTGGAGTGTGTGTGTGCCTGGAGTGTGTGTGTGTGTGCCTGGAGTGTGTGTGTGTGTGTGCCTGGAGTGTGTATGTGTGTGTGCCTGGAGTGTGTGTGTGTGTGCCTGGAGTGTGTGTGTGTGTGCCTGGAGTGTGTGTGTGCCTGGAGTGTGTGTGTGTGCCTGGAGTGTGTGTGTGCCTGGAGTGTGTGTGTGTGCCTGGAGTGTGTGTGTGCCTGGAGTGTGTGTGTGTGTGTGCCTGGAGTGTGTGTGTGCCTGGAGTGTGTGTGTGTGCCTGGAGTGTGTGTGTGTGCCTGGAGTGTGTGTGTGTGTCTGGAGTGTGTGTGTGTGCCTGGAGTGTGTGTGTGTGCCTGGAGTGTGTGTGTGTGTGCCTGGAGTGTGTGTGTGTGCCTGGAGTGTGTGTGTGTGTGCCTGGAGTGTGTGTGTGTGCCTGGAGTGTGTGTGTGTGCCTGGTGTGTGTGTGTGCCTGGAGTGTGTGTGTGTGTGCCTGGAGTGTGTGTGTGTGTGTGGCTGGAGTGTGTGTTTGTCTGGAGTGTGTGTGTGCCTGGAGTGTGTGTGTGTGCCTGGAGTGTGGGTGTGTGCCTGGAGTGTGTGTGTGTGCCTGGAGTGTGTATGTGTGTGTGCCTGGAGTGTGTATGTGTGTGTGCCTGGAGTGTGTGTGTGCCTGAAGTGTGTGTGTGTGTGCCTGGAGTGTGTGTGTGTGTGCCTGGAGTGTGTGTGTGTGCCTGGAGTGTGTGTGTGTGTGTGCCTGGAGTGTGTGTGTGTGTGCCTGGAGTGTGTGTGTGTGCCTGGAGTGTGTGTGTGTGTGTGTGCCTGGAGTGTGTATGTGTGTGTGCCTGGAGTGTGTGTGTGTGTGTCTGGAGTGTGTGTGTGTGCCTGGAGTGTGTGTGTGTGCTGTATGTGTGCCTGGAGTGTGTGTGGGTGTACTTGCACGTGTGTCTGGAGTGTGTGTGTCGGTTATACACATTCAGGCTATGCTGCCTACGATCTATCCTAGATTAAACCAGTCTGGATTGTGTGAGCTCACAAATCCTTGCAAGATCTGAACACATTCCCATCGGTGCACTCTTTCGACAGGCAAGGCTGCGTTTTCTGGGTATGTAGCACGCATGCCCGACCACTGCATGCCTAAACAGCTTTTGTTTGGCCGTATCGAGGGGGCTCAACGGGCGCGGCACTTGCTCGAGAAGGGATGCAGTGATGTGGTACAGGTGGATGTGGAGGTGTGTGGACTTGTCGATGACTGATAGCAGTCATCGGCATCTATGGAGGAGGCTCGTGAAGGACGCTACTGGGCAGTTGGAGCCAGTTGCCCTCCAACAGCGGAGGCCAGGGCACCAATGCTCACAACAAAGAGTGGAGCGCTGGGCGGCTAAAGAACAGCAAGTTGGCATCTGTCAGTCATCTCAGTCAACCCATGACACCTGGGTCTGGCCCGTGACCTGCCAGCGAGCCTTAGACACTTCACGTGGCCTCAAAGTGCACATAGCCTGTCACAAGCGCCGTAGTGACGTCACTGCCACGTAGAATCAGAGATTGTATTTATTCTGGAGGAATTGGATGAGCTATGAAGCTCTTTTTCTACAGATGTCCAGTAGGGGCGGGTGATCGAGTTGGATAAACAATACAAGAAACGATATGAACGAGATAAAGAAGGTAGTAAGCAAGTCGCTAAACATATTGCACAAGTACATCCATTCCTGCAGTTTCTTAACACCAAATGTCGGCTTGGACAAGGCAGTAAATTCAACATAAAAACAATCCGAGACCACACCAAGACAACACATGCACTCTATGTTGAACTTCTTTCGCACAGGCCGTAGCCAACCCTGCTAATCGAAGGACAAGCGACTAAACACAACAATGAGTTCTAACTCATGAGTTTTTCGATCTCGATTTAAAAGTGCATAGCTCCAGTGGCTTCCTAATAAAACTATAATGTGGCTGTATCTGACATTCTGCTTCAGGATATTCTTTGAAGGAAATTTGACAATGTCAAGGGAGGAAACGAGGTTGTTCCAAAGGGTTGGTACTGCAACAGGCAAAACGTTGTGTCACCTACTCCAATTCTTGTTCTATGGTTAGTTAAAGAGCAATTAGATGGACGTCTTGGGCTTCTTTGGTTTGGCAATGAGGTTAATGAATAATTTGCTGATTAAATTAAAACTGCCTCAGTAGCACGTGATAACAAATCACTTTTAACACAGTATAACAATAACATGGTTTACCCTTACTAGCAATGAAACAGCTGTTAAGATGTTCAAACACCAAACATAAACTTTTTGCTTTAAAGACCATCACAAAAGACACTTGCGGCGCCACACCAGTCATCATCTTTAAGGTAAAAAAAACGGTAAACCGATCTCGGACCCCAAAGAATGGGTTTGCAAGTTTCCTAAGAGTTTCCGTGAGGTCTCGGGGGAAAGGGGAAACCTCTCAGCTCAACCAGCATCATCGGGCAAGGTGGGGTTGACCCGATCTGGTGCTGCTGTGCCTCGAACATTTGAAGGAAGTCGCGGCTCCTTGTGAGTGGTTGGCTGAGGTTGCCATCCCGTGATGCAGTGCGAAGGGTTATCCGGAGCTTGAAACGAGGGAAAGCTTCGGGGAGAAATGGCCTCTCAAGCGAATGGCCTCTCAAGCGAATGGCCTCTCAAGCAAATGACCTCTCAAGCGAATGACCTCTCAAGCGAATGACCTCTCA